CTATAGCAATTCTTGGGAAAAAGAAAATGGGAGAACTCAACCTCCCTAACTTCAAACTCTACTACAAAGAAGTAATAATTAAAATAGCATGGTACTGGAACAAAGGCAGAGCTGCAGACCAATGGAACAGTGTTGAATATACTGACATCTCCCCTCAATCATATGATCATCTAATCTTTGATAAGGGAGCGAGAAATGTGAAGTGGAGTAAGGAAAGCCTCTTTAACAAACTGTGCTGGCAAAACTGGACGGCTACATACAAAAAAATGGGCTCAGATCTCTGCCTAACACCATGTACAAAAGTAAGATCAAAAAGGATTAATGACCTCAACATCAGACCGGAATCCATAAGGTACATTAAAGACAAATTTGGCAAAACCCTCTACGACATTGAAGCTAATGGTATCTTCAAAGATGTCACGCCACTGGCCAAGCAAGTGAAAACAGAGATAGACAAATGGGACTATTTTAAACTAAGAAGCTTCTGCACTTCAAAAGAAACAGTGAATAAAATACAAAGACAGTCAACAGAATGGGAAAAGATACTCGCCAAATACACATCTGACAAGGGGTTGATATCAAGGATATATAAATTACTGGTTGAACTCCACAAGAAGAAAACATCTAACCCCATAAAAAAATGGGGCAATGAAATGAACAGAAACTTTTCCAATGAAGAAATCCGAATGGCAAAGAGGCACATGAGAAAATGGTCTACATCATTTATCTTCAGGGAGATGCAGATAAAAACACAATGAGCTACCATCTCACACCTCAGAGACTGGCCCACATCCAAAAGAACAAAAGCAACCGGTGCTGGCGCGGATGTGGCGAGAAAGGGACCCTCCTTCACTGCTGGTGGGAATGCCGACTGGTTCAGCCCTTTTGGAAAACAGTATGGACGATTCTCAAAAAATTAGAAATTGAGCTCCCATTTGACCCTGCAATACCACTCCTGGGAATATATCCCAGAGAGGCAAAAAAGTATAGTCGAAGTGACATCTGCACTTGTTTGCTCATTGCAGCACTCTTTACAATAGCCAGAATCTGAAAAAAACCTGAGTGCCCAAGAACAGATGACTGATTAAAGAAACTTTGGTACATCTACACAATGGAGTACTATGTAGCTGTTAGAAAAGATGAAGTCATGAAATTTACATACAAGTGGTACAACATGGAAAGTATCATGCTAAGCAAAATGAGTCAGAAAGAGAGGTATAGACATAGCAAGATTGCATTCATCTGGGGGACATAAAGTAACAAAATAGGAGATTAATACCCAAGAATAGCCGAGATCAGTACCAGGAGGATTACTCCATGGCTTAGAGGCCAGCTGGGCATTCTAGGGGAAAGGGCAGCTCAGATAGAGAAGGGTACACCAAATAAAGGGTGTTGGGAGGATCCTCTCAGGATGGGAGATGCATGTTGAAAGTAGACGATGGACCGAACATGATTGCCACTCAATGCCTCTTTTGCAGACCACAACACCCAAAAGGAGAGAGAGAACAAAAGGGAATGCTCTTCCACCAAGGCAAAGTGGTATGGGGGTGATGGGGGTGGGATGGTTACTGGGATCCATAGTGGTTGAAAATGGGCACTGGTGGAGGGATGGGTATTTGATCATTGTATAATTGAAACTCAAAAATATGTAAGTCTAAAACTGTACCTCATGGTATTTCACTAATAAAAATTTAAAAAAAAACAGAAACATACTTCTTTATATATTTATTATATGCCTTACTCATTTTCACATGCCACTTCATCTATGGCCTACAAAAGTATAATTTATAATTCTTAAAGCTTTCGAAATTCCATCATATAATTCCTCCATCATCTCGAAGAGTTGTCCTTAAATTAATCTTAATTATTTAAGAATTGACTTGGGGCGGGGGGAAACAGTAAGAAAGTGAGGAGGAAGTCTGTAAAGTTTGCAATATTGAACCAGTTACCACTATAGGCACCCGAACCTCAGTCCCAAAAGACAGTCTGAACATGCTTCAAATGATCCCAACCATGTCACTGGGAAGCTTATATTTCTCTAACAATTCCTGTTACTTTGTGGCACTTCTCCAAGCTAATGTCTTATACTCTTGAGCCTAGAGAAAAACAACAAAAAACCCACAAGCAGAGAAGGTTCCGAGAAAATAGTCTAGAGAATATGGGCAGAAACCTAAACATATCTTTTGGTAGAAACAAGTGATTTCTACATACAAGAGTACTTCCTCTATTCCTTAGGACTTGTCAATGATGTAACTGATGATGATAGCATTATAGTTAGAATTATAAGCAAAGCAGCATTAATGACCATATTCCAGACAAAAAGGATGACTTGACTTAATGCCTATGAATTTAGGAATGTGAAGAAAATTAAAAGTATCGTATACTGAAAATCAAAGAAAGGGAACACTTAATGAGCACCCAAAGTGCTCTATATGCTGTGAAATTATTCTTTTAAATCCAAATAAATTAAGCAGAAAGGACTTAGAAACTTCTTGAGAAATATGAGTCAAACTAAGCTCAAGTCCCATGTGATCATGTACTAAGACAAGAATTTAATTTACCAACAATTTAGTTTCTTCTTTACTAAAATAACTACCCACTCACTTATTGAGGGGTTGTATGAGGATTGACTGTGATAACATATAGCACAGTTTAATACACAGGGATTAATTCATATACATGCACACCTTTTGTATGCACACACAGGTACGCATATACGGCACATAGAGCACAGTTAGTGCATAGCACCAGACAGAGCTTAGTGCTAACTAGATTTAAGACTTGTGCCTTAAGAAATTAAGCTAGGGAATCTCAGAATAGCTCAGTGACTTGGACATGGTCACTGAGCTAGTGAACAAATAAGCAAAATACTGAAATGTGGGTCCCCGTTATACGAAGGCCATTTTTCCCAAAGATTTAAAATAAAGGAGCGAGGCGGGTGGGGGGGAACAACCAAAGCTGAATAATTTTTCAAGAAGCCATAAAAGTAGTCAATCTTTAAAAACACATGTAAAATTTTTTAAATTTTAAATACCTGCTATTAACAGCAAGTATGGCCTGCATTTTAAAATAAAGTTGGGCTATTATAAGCATTTTGAACTAAATGTACACTCTGGTGGAAGAGCATGGAATCAAACACAGTGGGCATGGAAACTTAATGTCAACTGCATTGAAAATTAAGGTAGCTAAAAAAATTTTTCAAATTAAATGAGGGCTATAAAAAGAAATAAATGTACATACCTTTCAATAAGGCAATGAGTCATTTTTATAGTATTGAAGAAAAATGTTGGTTTTTTTTTTCCATTTTTATTGAAGTTTACAAGGTTGTATATGCTTTAGAGTTAAAGTTTCACACCTCCCTTAAATATCATCACTTCATTATATCCATCAGCAAAGTACCAATATCCCTCTACTACAGATCACTGAATTTCACCCCCTCACCCCAATTCTTAATCATTTAAGTATTTATTTGTTGCATCCTTAGACTAAGTAGGGAAACCATAAAGCAATGAATATTTTGGATTTCTTTTAAATTTTCATCACCAAATCCAAACTGAAAATATACTCTCTATCTTCTATGTATCCAATCTATCACATGCTTTTTAAAATGAAAACTTCTATTCCATATAATGGCACCAAAGTCCTGGAAAAACAAATTATATTCAATTATTACATACACCACCCTGCACTTGATAAATCATTTAACTAGGTTAATACAGAATAATCAGGTTTTACAAATGTGCATCTTCAATCAACCTAAACACTAGTATTTTCCAAATACTAGTGACAATTCAGTTATATTGGCTCTTCTCATTTTTAGCCACTATACATATTTTCCCAAAGAGAAAATATTAAATTGATATATTATCTTCCATAAACATCCAGAGCGTCTTCAATTCCTAATATGAGATCAAAGGAAAGCCCACAATTGATGACAAGATAAAATCCCCTGGGCTTTAAGGATAGAAATTGGTACTGGGACTTGAGATGGTGAGAAAAACTAAGAGTATTATCCCATGGTGAATAGGGGGGACTTTTTCATGAGACCAATAATGGACTTTTAATATAATTAAAGCAGAACATCAATACCAAACTGAACTTTAAAGAAACATTTCAATTGAATTAGGAACCTGGTTATTATACCTATATTATTTTAAAGCAAGAAATGTGCCATGTGATACATGAAATGACCATTCCAGAAAATACTAAATTTAGTGAAACATAAACTGGTTCCCTTTTTAATCACAAGATTAAAATAGCTGGAGGAATTTCAAAAGTTTGAGCAATGCAGTGATGCTTGAGATATAACTCTAAAATAATATTTTGCTAATAACAAATACTCTAACATAGCTTTAATTTTGACACACATACCAGATGAAAAAGACATTAATATGAAAAGTTTGGATCATGCCATGCAAACACCATTATTTTGGGTCACAGTTATGTATTCAAAGTATTTTCCATTGCAAATATTGTCATTTTTCCTAACTACCTGTTACGTATTGAAACCAACTGTCTACCTTCAACTCCAAATGTTCAAAGAGCCTAAAATTCTCGGAACATCCAAACAAGGCAACGCTGAAAAAAAAAAATAAGTAAATAGGTGTAGAGGATTTTAAGTTTCTAATGTGCTTCTTCAAACAACTTGCATACATTTTCGAATTTGGTTAAGGACACCTCAGGGGATGGGGGTGGGGGGGCAGCTGAAATCGTTTGACACTGTCATTGCGTGTCATTTGGATGCGATGTACCTCTCATTCCAGCCTTACGCACAGCCCAGGAAAGCTCAAACAGACAAATGAACAACGCAACAAATGCATTGCGAGGAAAAGAAAGTCCAAAGGCAAAGAGTTCCCCGAGATCTAGCAATTGCTCTAGAGTCAAAATGGAGAGACAGAGTCCCTTCCGTCTCGGGTTCCCTCTTCTCCCCTCCCTGCTCTCCCCCCATTCAGCTTCCCCATCTCCCTATTTATGGAACCGCCGTGCAACCCACCACTCACCTGTCATCGTTCTGCCATCCTTGGTCCCCCAGCAGCAAATCCCGAAACCTGTACCTGGGAGGTAGAGGGGGCACTTCGCTTTCCAAATCAACCATCCTCTCTCAAAGAGTGGGAAACATCGATCAACAAATGGAGGAGAGAAGGGAAAGAGGGCTGGGTGGTGGTGGATGGAGGTGGGGGTTGAGGGGTGGGGGGACCTAAAACTGCAGTGCCCGAGCGAGTGGTGGCAGGGGAAGGGGCCTGGGGAGGGGAGGGGGCTGCCGGGCGCCGGAAGCCGAGGCTTCAAGGGGGCAGGCTCCTGCCTCCCGAGGGTGCGCTGGGGATGATGCAAACCCAGACCAGGAGCAAAAGTCTGGCTCCGCCGGGGATCGGCGCTGCCAGGGAACCGCCCCCAGGCTCGGCGCCGCCTCTGGTCCCCGGGACTAGGGGGAGGCGGGAATGCAAAAGTTACTTGGCCGGGAGAGACGCGCGGTGCCTAGAAAGGGGGACGCGAGGGTGGCTGGGCGCGCGGCCGGCTGCTCCGACGCTTGGCGCGACGCGGGCGGCCGAGCAGGGGCGCAGCCAAGCCCGCGGGGCTCGGGTGGTCCCGGACGCGGCCAGCCCGGCTCTCCCGGCTGCAGGCCGAGCCAATGGGACGCCCCCTCATTAGCATAGCAGTGACGGCACGGAGGTGCCCGGGGACAGCCAATGGGGGCGAGCGGAGTCCCGGGCTCGCGACCCTCCCCTTGGAGCCCAGGGCAAGCGCGGGTCCGCCGGGGTCCCAGGTTACCCCGGCTTCTCTGCGGGGCGGCATTCTGCATGGGTGGCGGGGTGCGGATCGCACGTTCCTAGAGAGGGAATCCCCGCTCGGAACCCAGCACAGTCAATTTTTTTCCACCCCTCCGTTCCATCCGCACCCTATGAACGCTGGAAGGTGTTTCCCTGGTCCTGCAAAGGGAAGATGCTCCGGCCACTTTAGGCCGCGAGCGAGAAACGTTTTTCAGGTGAGGGTTGGGATAACACATTGAAAGGCAGGGAGGAATGGACACTCGGACTTGACTGTGGCCACCCTGAGCAGCCTGTTGGGCTCCCAGGTGGCGTCAGCTTTCAGCGTGAGCCGTTTTGTCACATGGGAATCTGAGCCCAAATTGTGATTTTTAGTATCCACCACTGCTCATGGTACCTGGTTGTAACGGGCCCTGGCACTGGTTTGAATTTTTTTTTCGCCAAGAGAAGCTTTCTCCAGGGTGCAGAAATGATACCGGTGGGCCGCATGGGTGGCTTAGGTGAAACCACCAAGGGAGGTGAAAGACAGTCACTTTCTCCCCATCCACTTCTACCAATCCCAGGCCCAGGGATACTGAGTTCTTGTCTCACTTCACAAGCAGTGAAGTAAAACAGATTTTATTTGGAAGGCTTTTGAAGGGAAGGAGGAAGAGAAAGTGGGTGAGAGTGGAGAGTAACGTGCTCATGAGAGAACCCAGGCTTCTCCAAGGGCAGAGACAGCCCCTAAACACACATCCCAACACTAGACATGAAAGCATGAAAATACACATCTGAAGAGAGGAGATGCCAGCAACACATGTGCTCAGGACCACATGTGCCTGGCCACGTGGACGCAAGCAGCACATGGGCTCAGTTGTGTATCCTCCCTTTGTTCAAAGTGGCCTTTATAGGGTTTCTCCAACCTGCTGCCATGTGGGATTTTCTACTTAGGTAAAAGTCTGTTGCTAAGGAGGTTGCCTAGGGTAGTAGGGGTTGGGAGTGGTGATGTGCTTTGAAATTCCTTTCCTGACCTTTTGTTCCTGCAGGTGCTTCTGTTCAAGCAGGGTCCAGCCTCCTCAGGATCTGTTACAGACTAGAACCAGGTAGGTCTTAGCTCCTATTTTATGCAAGGCTGGCATTGGAAAATTCAGGGCTGTTATTCCCAGGAAATTTACTGCCATTGCCTTTGGAGGGGGCCTTCCCTATCTGCCTGCCTGCCTACATCAGAAAGACACTGGAACGCTTGAGTTTAAACACTCAACAATCAACATCATGGCCCATGCCCTTAGGAATTTCCTTCTTTCGATTGGTGATGCAAGTTTTTCATCAAAGAAATGCAGTATGTGGCAGCTGGAGTGATAGCACAGCTGGTAGGGTGTTTGCCTTGCACAAAGATGACCCAGGTTTGATTCCCAGCATCCCATATGATCCCCTAAGCACTGCCAGGAGTAATTCCTGAGTGCAGAGCCAGGAGTAACCCCCAGTGTATCACCCGTGTGACCCAAAAGCAATAAATAAGTAAATAAAAATAAGAGATACAATATGAGCTGTGATTTATTAACAAGAAAAGAGACTGGGAAATACGCAGGAGATAGCACCCTTGTTCAAGTAGGGGGTTTCCAGGAAGGCGTTGCAAATGAACTAAGCTTGCTGTATTTATTGCAACCTAGTTCAAAGTAAGCAAGGAAATGAGCAGAATTGCGTGAGTAGAAGCCAAGTAATGGTTTAATTGTTTTATTGAGGTGACTGATTCAGGGTGACTAATTTGGCATAAATGAATATGTTTTATGGGGACAGGGATACACAGAAAGTTAGAGATTTTAGAAGAACTCATCAAAAAAGGATTAGTAGAGAAGATAAGAATCTTAAACCTGAGGAACTGCAGAGGAAATACAGTAGACCAACTCAACCTTTCTAACTCCAAAGATCTTCCAAATGTCCTCCACATTCATTTGAAAAAAAAAAGAACTCTTAAATTTCCTGATTCTTGCAATTAGTTATAATGCCTTCTCCCTCTCAATCCTTCATACCCCTGTTGAGTATTTTGTTTTCAGTGCTTACTATATTTTGGTCTGCTGTATGATTAACTACGCATTTTTCTTGAATCCATCCCCCTTCCTGTGGCTTATCTTGTTAACACAGTGCCTTCAAAATAGCAAAATCTCAACAAATATGTGTTAAGATGCATGAAAAGCTTCTAAATTTAGCATTCGTTTTCACTTTTAGATAGAGTTTTGTATTTGGATGGAGTTTTGCATGGATTTTTATAATCACTTTGCCAAATGAGAAAACTGTATCACTACACTGTTGATTTAAGGAGCTGTGTTGATTAAGAGTCTGCTAATATTTTGGACCTAATCTGCTATTAAGAAAACTATGAAGTTTACTCTTTTATTTATTATTATAGCCCTGATTTGTATATGCATCAGAAATATAAAATATTTATTAATTAGTAAAAGCCAGAGCAACATGGCATTATTAAAAAATAAAGGGGAAAAAGGAGACTATTGAATATTAGACTCCTGAAAAATTAGTCAAACATTTCACATCAAAGAAAGCTGTGTACCCTCATCTTTTACTTTTTTACTGCCTTACTTGCATTTTTAGTAGGAAACAAAACATAGAGGGAAATATATATATATATATATATATATACATATATATATTTGTATGTATATATGCCTCTTGGAGAGCCCAGCAAGCTACCAAGAGTATCCCTCCCACACGCCAAGAGCCTGGCAAGCTACCCATGGGGTATTCGATATTCTAAAAACAGTAACAATAACGGATCTCATTTTCCTGATTCTGAAAGAGCCTCCAATATGGCAGTTTGGGTTTCATTGGGAAAGATGAGTAAGGAGAAGCTGCTAAAATCTAAGGGCTGGGGACTGGAGCAATAGCACAGCGGGTAGGGTGTTTGCCTTGCACGCAGCTGACCCGGGATGATTCTCAGCATCCCATATGGTCCCCCGAGCACTGCCAGGAGCAATTCCTGAGTGCATGAGCCTGTGCATCACCTGGTGTGACCCAAAAAGCAAAATAAAATAAGCTAAAATAAAATAAAATCTAAGGGCTGGGACAAATGGAAATGTTACTGGAGCCCGCTCAGATATATCCATGAACAATGGGATGACGGTGATACAGTGATACAGTGATTTGCCTGTTAGTTCACAGATACCAGTTTAAGAGAAAACAAATACATTAAAAAACAAATAAATAAATTAAATCCTGCTCAGCCAATGGAGTCATAAAACCACTGTGAAGGGTACGAATGGTTCATAATATCGTCAGGAGTCACCCAAGTCCTTTGAGGTTCATTTTATTAGGGATGCTTTGATTCTCTGTGTGTCTTAAAAAGTAGATGTTAAATTAAAGAATCTCACAAATTTAGGAAAAATAATTAAAGTCATGCATCATAAGATGGGCCATCCTGGGTTTCTTAAAGCTTCGCAATTGTTAGACATGGAAACTTTATCATTGGAAGACCCCATTTGCTCCTCTTTATATTTTCTTTTCAGATTTTTATAGCCAGAAAAAGAATTTTTAATAACACCCGGCGATTCACAGGCGTTACTACTGGCTCATGCACTCAGGAACTACTCCTGGAGGTGCTTGGGGGACCATGTGGGATGTTATGAATCAAACCCGGGTCGGCCATGTGCAAGGAAAACGCCCTACCTGCTGTACTATGGCTCCAGCCCCCTAGCCAGCAATTTTAAGTTTTGTCATTAATTTTGACTTTTAGTTCTTCCACCTGTCATCTGCCTTTCTCCTCCTCCTCCTCCTCCTCCTCCTCCTCCTCCTCCTCCTCCTCCTCCTCCTCCTCCTCCTTCTTCTTCTTCTTCTTCTTCTTCTTCTGTATATGCCATGCCATGTCATTTCCTGCTGGTATATATTTTCCTATTTGTCTCTTTTTGGTTTCCTTTTTCCACTGTGCACTTTTAATCTCCAATTTCATAGAAAATGTCAAGAATTAGGATCAGTTAGAAGACTAATTCCCTTGTTTAAAAATACTCTTTTTTTTTGCTAAAAGATATGTGTGAGGATATAGTTTGACTTTTCCTTAATGGGGGAAAAATGAGGATTTTTTTTTAGGTTTCTAATTTTCAGTACATTATTATTTCTACTAATATTTAAACACAAAAAGAAATACCATTTACCATGGGTAAAGAATGATTTTATTAACTAAAAAACAATTTATTGAAATTAGTGTGTGAATTATGAACATAGCTGCAATCAAAGAATAGTTTTTACCTCAAACTCAAAATTCCTATTACATATAAAACTATAAACCAGCTTTTCTATACTGTTAATGATAGTGTATATAACCTTACAAAACAATTTAGAAAGGAATTTAAAACATACTTTC